TCTGAGACATCTAGGTCTTTGTGCAGTAAACAAAATTCTCACTTGAACACAAAGTTTAATGTGAGAGATAGGCAATGATAACCCACCTTTCTTTTCCTGACTCTTTCTACGGGCCAGGTAACCAACGCCTCCCTTTCTTTATAGGATAACAACAGGGCACCGGCTGGTAGAACAAAGGTGCTCAAGCCTTCTTTGTGGTCTCGTGAATATCTGGTTGGCTCATCATGATTATACTAAGCTTATAAAATTATTTCAGTAGCTATACCTCTTTTCCTAGTCTCTGTAACAGCTTTTATGAGATGAGAGCTCTCTATTTTTTGAAGTTTTGTTAGGACACATCTGTAAAACAGAATCCAGCCCTCTGATCTGTATGTACTGGGTTTGAGATCTGGTTTGTGGGAGTATTTTTGATTGTCAATTCAATTTATTTAATAGTTTTAGTGTATTTAAAACTTCTTGAGTCAATTTTGGTAGTCTATACTTTTCTAGAAGGTAATTCACTTCATTTCAGCTTTCAAGTTTGTTGGTGTCAGTTATTCATTGTATCCTCCTGATTTAAAAAAAAAAAAAAACTCAACTGTATCTCTGTTTACCCATTTCTATACGTGCATTTACTTATGCTTTTCTGATCCACTTCTAAATCTTGCTAGAAGCTTGTCTATTTTATCTGTTTAATTAAAAAGTCAGCTTTAAAAAATATCCTTTCTTTTTGATCCCAGTGTTCTATTTCACTGGTTTTCATTAATTGCATTTTTTCTCTATTAAAACAAAAAATAGCATTTTAAGATAAGCAATAATTCATTGCATTTTCCAATGTATTTAGTGAATTTTTGTGCTGTTCCTCACTTTTCTTACTTTTCTTCTTGTTCACTTCTGATACGGAGCATCTCCTGGTAATGAACTCTCTTATTTGCTGTTCATCTGAAAACGTTGTTATTTAGCCTTGACTGCTCAATGATGGCTTCGCTGGGTATAGACTCCCAGGAAGAAGGTATTTTCTTCATTGGTCTCATTGCGTTTTATAATTATACACACTGTGATTATCTGAAAAAATGTCCATCCCCCCAGAATGATTTTTGTTTGTTTTGTCCACCACTGTGAATCCGAGTCTCTAGAGCAATGCCAGGCACCCAGTAGGCACTCAATAAACTGTCTGCCGTGAATGAAAGAGTGAGCGAATGACTCCTTCACTGGGCCTTCTGTTTTGTGATGACAAGGTAGGTGTCTTCTTCAAGGCTGAGGCCTAGTACCTTGCTTAGTCCCTGACATAATAGCAACTATGGAAACACTTGTTTGATGGAATAAATTAACTCACCCAAGTTCTAAAACAAGAGCACAAGAACAGTGACCTCAGAAATCAGTACCTTTTGAAAAGCAATCTTTGGAGTCCCTCTGCTGTTGTTTAGTCTCTCAGTCGTGTCCAACTCTTTGCAACCCCATGGACCGTAGCCCTGCCAGGCTCCTCTGTCCACGGATCTCCCAGGCAAGAATACTGGAGTGGTTTGCCATTTCCTTCTCCAGGGGATCTTCCCTACTCAGGGATTGAACCCACGTCTCCTGCATTGGCAGGAAGATTCTTTACCACTCAGCCACTGGGAAGCCCTTGAAACCCCTAGGTTCACATTTTCCTTTTGAAATTTCATCCCTGGGGTTAGCTGCAGGGGAATTAGGGGCAGACAGGGAGCTCCTAAAAGCAAAACTCTCCTTGGGAAGGGAGCGTTCCCTTTTACCAAATCTTCACAAACTTTCAAAGATCTGTCCTCAGAAAGGAGACTTCTCCAGCTTGACCAGGAGCTGGCTGAGTTCTTGTTTCTAAACAGACTACCACGCATCATCGCTGGTGGCTCCTTTAAAGGGAAAGGGTGTCACAACAGGAAAGATGACATCCAGATGCAGGCTTCAAAGACAGACACAGTGACTAATAAAATATTCAGCAGCTGCCGCTGTGGTCTCAGCGAGGACTGCGGCTGAGCCAGCCGATGCCCCAGCTTGAGGAAATGCACTGGGATTTTCCAGAAAGGCCCACTTAGGAAGGAGGTAGGGGCCTTTGAGGGCGTTGTCCAGGAGGCATTTAAAGACATAGCCCCCTGAGAGCACTAATGCACTTCGATTTGGCCACCTATGAAATAGCAGATCCACAGACTAGAGCCCACCAGGCTCCTGGGTCCATCGAACGCTTCAGACAAGGATACTGGATTGGATAGCCATTTCTCCTCCAGGGGATCTTCCCGACCCAGGGGTCGAACCCAGGTCTCCTAGATTAGCAGGCAGATTCTGTACCATCTGAGCCACCAAGGAAGCCCACAGAAGAAACTATTAGGACTCAAGAGATGCCTGACCTGCACACTTGGGGATGCAAAAGTCAGCTGAGTGTCAACAGCATGAGAGGGTCACAGCCCTCAGTCTGCCCATTAGTCCTGAAACCCTGCTCACAGTGCCCTGTGGGATGCTGGATCTCCATCCTCCGGGCGATTCTAACAGTTCTCAAATGTCTCGTCTCACACATGCAGAATCCCAACCATAGGCAGTTTCTGTAGACCCGGGCACCACCGTCCCCCTCAGATTGCCCCTCAAATTGGAGGGAACAAGAATCTTATAATACACACTCTCTTCCAGCTGGTGGCGGAGCTCCAGGGCACATCTCTGCCCTGGTTACTCTTAAGATCACACGGTCCACTGACAGCCACATTGGAGAAAGACAGAAAAAGAGGAGAAATATGAGGTTTGAAGATGCCAAAGCTAAAATGCTAGCAAGATTTTAGAAACATGTTTTCCTTGGCTCGCTGAGAGCAGGACTTTTCGCAAACCATGTCTGCTTCAGCCATGACGTCTTCTCTGAAACATGGGAGCATAAACAAGGGAAGAATATCCCTTCCAAAGAATGGTGCAGAAACTTGCCAAAGGAAAAGAACAGAATCAGAATCAGAAAAGATTCGTTTTAGAGGCATCAAAGTGGGTTTCCCAAACAAGGGAGAGTGGCTATTTCTTTGTTAGGAGGGGGGAAAAACCATCATGGGACACACTTTACAGTCACCCTTGAATGTCGATAGATGACAAAAATATTATTTTGATCTGTCATCCCATTCGGTTTTGCCTTCCAGAGACATTTCAGCTTTTGCATCCTCAGGAAAGAGACTGACTTAGTGGTTTAAGAAATCTTTCAAGTGAAGATTAACAACAACAATAATAATAAAGTAACAAATTGGCTTTAGAGCTTGGCAAACCCGAAAACCATATGCTCTGAGAGTTGCTTCATTCATTGGTAATTAAGTTTTCTTTTCTCCTCCAAAAATGAGACTTTTTCTGGACCCAGCACATAGCTTGAGGCATGTAAGTATCTTAATGGGGACTCCTCTCTTCTTTTGAAGATCAAATCCTGGCTAGTTTTCTTTGAAGTTCAGAGCCCTGTATGGGATGGAGACTCGTTAATAAAACAGTAGTACATATTTGGAGTATTTCTACAACCCCAAAGACTTCATCCTGGGAGGGAAACATATTAAGGACTCACTGACTTTAACCAAAAAAAAAAAAAAAAACCAAAAAACGATGGGTCTCCAACTCAATCTGACATTATGGAATCATACATACACTTTCACGCCCCTGTCATCATGCTCCGGGCCACCCCAAAAGACCCAGGCGTGAAGATGCCAGGGCATTATCTGCACCTCTTCCAATCAAAGCCCAGCCCAGACGGTCATCATCCCTCTCCACAGCAAAAGTCACTGAACATTTGGGTATCTCCACAGTTTGTTTGTCTTTGAGTTAGAGCAGCCTTGAAAAACACAGATGTTTTCCTTTTAATCCTGTTTGTACTTTGCAGTGGTCACACTCGAAGTCACTGGGCTGCAGGAAACCCCTCCAGAGAAACAGCGTGTGCGTGGAGCCATCTGATTGGGGGTTGCTCCTTGCCTCTCTGCATTGCTGAGCATAGTTAATTTATCTGAACAGAATGGATTATGAGGGTGAAGATGCACGTATAAATACCTTTTTTTTAAAAATGCTAACTCTATAGGCTCTCGTCAAGGTCAGTTTAGGACTGTGGTTTATGCACTTTTGGATATTCACTCCTCTGCCAGAGAGCCTTCCTGGCTTTCCTAAGAAAGATGACTCAAGAGCTCAGGCTGATGGTTGGACCTGCTGCTTCCTTGCCTGTGTGACCTTGGGCAAACTACTTAGCCTCTCCAGGCTGCTTCTTTATCAGTAAAGAGGCGCTCATACAAGTATTACGTCACAGAGCCGTGGCAAAGATTAAGGGAGATTACTGCACAGAGGCACAGGGAGTAGACATGCAATACATGTTTGTTATTCTATTTAATCTCTGTTTCTTGGGCCTTTCGTTACTCATTTCAGGCCCTTGATCTCAACAAGAGCCCGCTCCAGAGTCGGAACCTTGGAATGACACAGGCCGTGTGTGTTTTTCCTCTGCCCGCAAAAATGTCCAGTCTGCTCCCTCTTTTGGCTCAAGGAGCAAAGGTGGTTGTAAAACACGATATTATGTTACTCACATCCTGGGCATTCTGTGATCCAGAATATGGATCAGCTCTGGAGAGAGGGTTGGTCTTAGATGAATAGGACATGGGGCAGACAAAGGTCCAGATTCAATAAGCATTCATTGAGAGGCTACTCTGTGCCAGGAAATTTGCTAGGCCTATTCCTTGTGTGGTTTTCTGTAATACCCACAACAACACTCTAAGACAGGTGTCATTATGACCAATATCGTAAAGAAGAAGCAAGTGAGCTTTAGTGAGGTTCATTTGTTCAAGATCCAAAAGTCCCCCTTTGCCATCAGGATAAAGTCCTAGATGCTAGAGATGACCCAAGGGCATCATGGTGGGACCCTCTAGCCATCCACCTCACCTCCATCCCCTATCTTACCTCACAATGCATCCTGGGCTCAGTCACCCAGTCATGTCTGACTCTTTGTGACCTCATGGGCTGTAGCCCGCCAGGCTCCCCTGTCCGTGGGATTCTCCAGGCAAGAGTACTGAAGTGGGTTGCTATTTCCTTCTCCAGGGGATCTTCCTGACCCAGGGGTCAAACCCACATCTCCTGCATTGCAGGCTAAGCCATCAGGGAAAGCCCACACCTCGCTGTAATCCAAGGTAAATCCACCCTTCTTTTTCCTGCCTTGAAGGAGACTGAGTCTCCAGTAGCCACAGCACAACCAGCAGGAAATCCAGCCCCCGCGGGAACTCGCTCACCTCAAGCCCCCAGCTCATGGGAGCTGCTCGTCTCGTCTGCTGCTCTCCTGCATTAATTCTCAAACGCACCCTGCTTCCCTCCCCGCTCTCCTTCCTCGGGGCAACAGTGCGGCCAGCCCTGGGGTCCCCCCAAGGGCTCCACTCCTGGCCAGGTTAGCACGGCCAAGTCCAGCGTGGAGGGAGGTCTGACGGTGGCAAACACGGTGCTGACACTTGTTTTCTTGATCACATTCATGTTGCACTTCCAGCCAAACCAAACCAGTGGTGACTTCCCAGCGGAGGCCACGCCACTTAACACCCTGTCCGCCCCCAGCAGCCTACTTCTCCCGGACTCTCCTCGTCAAGCCCCACTGCTGGCTCAGGCCCAGGGAGGAGGCCTTCCTGGACTGAGCCCCCTCCACCTGGGCGAGAGGCTCAGAGGCCTCTTCTCTGGGCTCCCGAGCAGCCCCGACAGGAACTCGTCACGTGCTGTGGTTACCACGCGCTCCTGCCACCCAGCTGTCCCCTCTCACCTGCAGTCTCCCTTTCTTTGGCTTCAGCTACCTGTGGTCATCTATGATCAGAAAACGCTAAATGGAGAATCTGAGAACTAGACAACCCCTGAGTTTTCATCTGCGCGCTGTTGTCCGTAGCAGGGTGACATCTCCTGCTCCCTGCTCGGTTCCTCTGGCACGTGAGTCACCTCTCTGTCCCGCGCACCCTGCTGTTAGTCACTCAAGAGCCGTGTTTGTTATCAGCGTCACTGTCACAATATCGCGGGGCTTGCGTTCAAGTCACCGTTGTTTTATTTAATAATTGCCCCCAAAGTGCCAGAGTAGTGATGCTGGCAATTCAAATATTCTCTTACTCTACCTAACATAAATTAAACGTCACCATAGGTATGTACATGTAGGAAAAGACATAATACTACTAGGTTCTGGTACTAGTTGCAGTTTCAGGCATCCCTGAGGGTCTTGGAACATACCCCAGGGACCCCTGTATTCATTCATAGATCCATCTCCCACTATGTTGTGAGTTTCTGGAGGGCCCCACAGCAAGCTCTTGCTAGATAATTGCTTTTTTTTTATTTCAATGTGTTTATTGTTTTTAGGAAAACAATAAATAATTAGAAATAACACAGATCTTGTGCTCAGTAGAGAAGAACCCGCCCGCCGATGCAGGAGCCGCAGGAGATGCGAGTTCAATCCCTGGGTCAAGAAGATCCCCCTGGAGGACGGCATGGCGACCCGCTACAGTATTCTTGCCTGGAGAATCCCATGGACAGAGAAGCCTGGAGGGCTACGGTCCATAGGGTCACAAAAGGTTGGACACGACTGAAGTGACTTAGCAGGCAGCACGCACGCAGAGAAGAAATATAAGAAAGAGGATGAGTGGTGTTATGAACATGAATGTTCATAGGCGCTAAGGAGTCTAGACAAAGATGGGGAACAAATCCCACCAGCTGGCGTTCCCCATCCATGCTTCTGCTGTTTTTTAGAGAGGATTAAACAAAGAACTGATTCTTCTCCGTAACAGGACAAGTGGCGGGTCCTTACTAGCGTTGATTCAGCAGCCGCCACGCAAAGGCAGGCCCACATCCCTGTGGTCCTCTAGGGCTTCCCATCACCACACAGTGAGTGGCTCCTGTGACTTTAGACCAGCGGTCCCCAACCTTTCTGGCACCAAGGACTGGTTTTGTGGAAGACAATTTCTCCAGAGACCCAGGCAGGGTGGAGGAGGGAGGATGGTCATGGGATCAGGTCACGGGGTCAGGTGTGCATTTATTGTGCACTTTATGTCTCCTATTATTACAACAGCTCCACCTCAGATCATTAGGTATTAGATCCTGGAGGTTGGGGACCCCCGGCCTAGACAGGGCAGCCGTGTTCAAGGCAGGAAGAAATAGGGAGCAGGGGTGAGGCCAGCTGTCTGAACATTGACCAGGAGTGCATGGCTTTCCTAGAACCCAGACTGGCCTTGAATCCAAACCCAGGTGTCTTACTGGCCGTTGCTGGAAGGGAAAACATTTCCCAACCTTGTTTAATGCATCGTTATGATCTGACTTGCTGTGCTTTTGGCTTTTTTGGACTAAAAGCCATATAACATAAAATAACCACTTCAAAGTGAAAAATTCAGTGGCCTTCCATATGCTACCAGTGTCGTGCACCCCTCACCTCTGTCTAGTTCCAAAGCACTTTGTCATCCCAAAAGGAAACTCTCACCCACCAAGCAGTAACTCCTCATTGCCACTGCCCCTGGAGTAGGAAATGGCAGCCCACTCCAGTATTCTTGCCTGGAAAACTCCATGGACAGGAGAGCCTGGCGGGCTACAGTCCCTGGGGTCGAAGAGAGGCAGACACAAAGAAGCACACACATGCTGGTAACACCAGTCTGCTGTCTGTCTGCACAGTCCCCCTTGTTCTGCACATTTCAGGTAACTGGAAACACACCATACATGACCTTCTGTGTCTGGCATTTTTCACTGAGCATCATGTTTTTGAGGTTCATTCACGTCGCAGTGTGTACCAGAGCTTCATTCCTCTTTACGGATGAACAAGTTCCTGTTGTACAGATATGGCACAATCAGTTTGTCCAGTGACTCACCGGTGGGCACCTGGGGTATTTGTCATGTGACTTGAACCCAGGCATCCTGGCTCCAATCCACATCACCCACACTGTGAGCGCCCTAGAACACCAAGACCTGGGCTTCCGGCTGAAGAAGCGCTGCTGCTTCTTCACCCCGAGAAGGGACTGATGGCCTGGAGGGAGTGAACTTGCTCCCGGGATGGGGAGGGGTCACTGGGGGACCTGCTGGAAACCATCTTCGCCTGCTTCCCAAGCCTTTGCGGCCCTGTGAATAGGTGCCTCTAGGGAGCCTCTGCCTTGCACCAGGGAAAGCAGGCGCTGTCTTCAGCTGGGGTCGGCCCACCCAGAACGGCACTGGCTGGAGCCCAAGCGAGAGCATCCCTCAGCACTGGTGTCATTTTATGTAGTTCTTATTAGTAATCAGGTAGGATTCATAGCCAGTTGACTCTTCATTCTTGCCAGAGGCTGATAAATTGGCTGGACGCAGGAATCATTCTTCAGTAATTAAAAGCCTTTATGGCTTGCAGAAGCAAGCAAATTTGGGAGCACCAACCATGGACCGGGACACGGCCTCCAGCCAAAGACCACACCCACCAGGGGATGGTGAAGGGCCCCCTCTGACGTGACCCTCAGGATCTCAGTTCAACCATCCAGAGGCACTGGTCTCTACAGAGTCAAGCACTTTAGGATGTCCCTGGGGATTTGGAAGCAAACCCCAATTGGTCCAGGGAGGCAAAAGGAAGCTCTGAATGGGCTCAGCATCCAGGAGGTTTTCATGGGGGGACCATTTCAGCCCCACTGAATGTCATGCTCTGGGGACCCAGAGCAGGAAATAGAACTTGGCACATTGCCAGCTGTCGAACTGTGGAGCTGGAGAAGACACCTGAGAGTCCCTTGGACTGCAAGGAGATCAAACCAGTCCAACCTAAAGGAGATCAACCCTGAAAATTCACCGAAAGGACTGATGCTGAGGCTGAAGCTCCAATACTTTGGCCACCTGATGCGAAGAGCTGACTCATTGGAATAAGACCCTGATGCTGGGAAAGACTGTAGACAGGAAGAGAAGGGGATGACAAAGGATGAGGTGGTTGGAAGGCATCACTGCCTCGATGGACATGAATTTGAGCAAGCTCCGGCTGATGGTGAAGGACAGAGGAGCCTGGCGTGCTGCAGTCCATGGGGTCACAAAGAGACACGATTTAGCAACTGAACAACAACACTGTCCTCAGCCCCCAAGGAAGGGTCCTGTCTTCCTAGAGAAGAATCTGGAAGGGATAGCTCAGCCATCGGCTTGGGTAAGTGAAGGCAAGATTACATGATGATACACAAAGGTACTCAGAAACACAGCCCAAACCAACTTACTTTCCTCAAAAGCAGAGTTTTTATTTCAGCATGACCTCTTACAGCATCATACTTAAGATCTCAAGCTTCTGAGTCAAAAACACCCGAGTTGCACAGATTTAGAGAATGAATTTATGGCTACCAGGAGGGATGGTGGGGGTAGGAACAGACTGGGAGTTTGGGATTGGCATGCTCACACTGCTGTATTTAAAATAAGTGTCTTCCCATGAAAAATAAATATAAACAAAATTTTCTTAAAGACCTGAGTTTGAATCCTGGCTCTGCCACCTAATAGCTAGGTGTCCTTGGGTAAGTTCCTTAACCTCTCCGAGCCCATTTTCTCGTCCATAGAGCAAAACTACTGTCAACTTCATGAGGAGCAAACAGGATAGTCCTGTGATGCGAGCGTCTGGCGCAAGGTGAGAGCCCACAGATTGTCTGTGACTCAATTCCCCTCTTCATCTGCCCCCATCCATCCAGACAGAGCCACCAGGACCCCCACTCTCCAACACCTCCTGTCTCCATCTTTCAAATCCAAAGTCTCACGGACTCAATTCTTGCCAGGGCTTTTTTCTTAGGGGCCCCTCCATGCCAGGATGGGCTGAGGATTATAAAGCGTGGTTAAGAGTTTCAAGGTCAAATCCTAGCACTTCCTATGAAAATAAAAAGAGCAGTCCATTACATTGTCAAGTTAATACAGTGTGATGAAGCATCTCCAGACTGCACTTCCTGGAAGACTGTAAAAGTCTAATAGATTTAGGGAAACTGTACCTCGGGGAGCGTATTAGACAGCGTTCATCAGTGGATCAAAACTGTCTTCGAGGCTCCCTTCCCAGGGAACCGCAGCGCCCCTTAAATGATTGCTTTCCCGCCAACAGCCTGGAGATAAATTGTCCTTCATACATTAACTGTACACGAGCGGGGCACTTATTTTGAATGGAGAATGCACCTTATTTTACCCCAAATGGAAAAGCATATCCTTTGAAAGCCAAATTCTGCTTCCTTCTAAATTACCGTAAAATGACATAAGGCCATATTGATTTCCCCGGCTCCATCTCTGATGATTTCAGATGTACTCGGACACATTTCTATGCCTATATTGAAGTGTCTTTAATTATTCCAAAGGATGTCTTCATGCATTTAAGTTTTAATCGGATATAAAATTAGTCGAGTGTAAAGTTTGCACATATGCTCCTAGGAAGGCGTCATTTCAGTGAGCTTTCATCCTGGGAAGAAATGCCGCTTTACAATGAAACTGTTAACAAGGATAACATAAACGAACTCTTTAGATTTTTTAAGAGTCACCACATGAAATCATCAACTTATTTTCCTCATTTTGTGCAGTCTCGAAATCGCATACGCGTTTACAAACCGAACTCTCACTCAAGAGACAGCGTTCCATGAGCTGAGGGCTAGTAAGCAAGAGCAGCGCTGACAGATTTTTGCCCCTTGCTTCTCATGTATTTTCCTGTGAGTTGAGATTTAAGCTCTTCCACGGGGAGGAGTGTTCAGACTGAGTAATTTAAATACCCTCAACGACTAGACAATGCATCACGGCACCCCAGGGACCAGGCTGGCGGATGGAGCATGCGTCACCGAGTCTCGATTCCTCTTCAGAGGCAAGACGCTATGGGAGGAAGTTATCCACATCACTCCTCCTGTAAGTTGTTCGTCACAACAGTCACACGCCAGCCCAGGTCTTGGAGGAAGGGAAAGAAACCCCATCTCTTGATGGAAAGATTGTCAAAGAATGTGTACAGCTGTCTTGAACCCCCCACGGCAACCAAGAACGCGTGCAAGGCAGAGGTGTTTCTGGAGCCTGAATGGTGCTGTCCGAGGCACACTGGGATCCTGAACTACGAAAGGCAGGTCGACAGAGACGGACGTCCAGTGAAACTGAGCGCCACTCCAGGTCATTCCCAGACCTCCTACAAAATACATCTGATGTGTCCTTGTTCCTCATTCTTCATTTCTAACTGACTAAGAATCACTGAATCTTGTTCATTTCACCTTCTAAGTATGTTGCAGACCTCCATTGCTCTTCATCTCCACCAGCACAATCAGTCACCACCAGAGCCACCATCACAACCCCCACCTCCATCACCACAACCTCCATCACCATCACCACCACCTCCATCACCTCCCCCACCATCATGTCTACACTCCCCCCCCGCCATCCTCACCACCATTATCACCTCCACCACCTCCATCACCATCACCTCCATCACCTCCCCCACCATTACGTCTATACTTCCCCCTCCACCATCCTCACCACCATTATCGCC